GGCCGCCCAGCGCCGGGCTCTGCCGCCCCGCAGCGGCCGCCGCTCGGTGCTGCACGCGTTCGGTGCGGGCAGGGAGGCGGGAGGCAGGGGGAGAAAACCCAACTTCCCATCGTAGCTCACGTGCCTGCTAACAGCACATTATTAGCCCTTGTTCTTCTCTGACCTTCCCGACTGGCCTGTTGCCTCTGCAGAACGCCGTGGACATCCTGGGGTTCAGCCCCGATGAGAAGACGGGGATGTACAAGCTGACGGGGGCCGTCATGCATTACGGGAACATGAGGTTCAAGCAGAAGCAGCGGGAGGAGCAGGCAGAGCCGGACAGCACAGAAGGTAGTATTGACCGTAGTTTGCTTGCGAACTGCACCAGGTTACAAGCTGTCAACCACATTCCACAAAGTGCCCAAGATTTTGAGAATGAATTTCCCTTCCAGTAACTGAACTTCTTAAGTTTGTTGTAAGCTGCACGAAGTTGATGATTTAATTTATGCTCCACAAGGAAACAGACATAAAGATGAAACATTGCTGCAGCCCTCCATGTGTGGAACAGGAACATACAGCAGATGAGACACGGCCTGTTTTGGGGGGCAAACATTCTCCATGGGACTGGAGAGGAGCTTCCCTTGACAATAGTGCATTTGAGTAGTGCCAAAAGCAGGATCCTTGTAACAAACATCCTAGAGGACCAGGACACCTTTACATGTCTCTTTTGAAGTCATTTGTCTCTCTGATCCTAGTGGCTGACAAAGCAGGCTACCTGATGGGTTTGAATTCTGCTGATTTGCTCAAGGCTTTATGCTATCCCAGAGTGAAAGTTGGGAATGAATATGTAACTAAAGGACAAAATGTCCAACAGGTACCTAGACAGCTGATCATTTCATTTTCTTCAGACAGTCCTCCAACTTTAGAGCTAAAGCAACTTTCATTACTGCCATGGCTGTGTTTCTTACAGGTATACAATTCAGTGGGTGCATTGGCTAAATCAGTCTATGAGAAGATGTTCCTGTGGATGGTTATTCGAATCAACCAACAGCTGGATACAAAGCAACCCAGACAGTACTTCATTGGTGTCCTGGACATTGCTGGCTTTGAAATTTTTGATGTGAGTTACGGTAGGTATGCTTGCCCATTGATGACTCTTCCAAACTAACTGTCATTTTTTATATTTTGAATTTGCAGTTCAACAGCCTGGAGCAGCTGTGCATCAACTTCACCAATGAGAAACGGCAACAGTTCTTCAACCACCACATGTTCGTGCTGGAGCAGGAGGAGTACAAAAAGGAAGGAATTGAATGGGAGTTTATTGACTTTGGGATGGACCTGGCTGCCTGCATTGAGCTCATTGAGAAGGTAGAGGAAATCTTTTCATGTCAGGAGAGAATATTTTTTTAATGATCATTTATTTCAGTCCAGTCATTCATAATAAATTGACACTACTGAATGACCATCTCACATAAGAAGCAGCAGCTTATAAAACCAAGGCTTTTGGAAAGATAGGCAGCCTCTGTGCAGACAATGATTTCCTGAAAAACATGGCTGGGGTGGAAGGTAGACAGGGTAAACATTGTTAATTTGGTGCCTTTAACAAGACTGCCTTTAACAGTAACATCAGCTTCAAGTCTTACTCCTTGCAGTAATGGATAGATTTAAGTTATTGGTTCTAGCAACACAATTCTTTCTACCACCTCTATCGCTGCCCACTGCTACTGCATTGGGGATCTGAATGAGAATTAACCCCTCTCTGCTATGTTACAAGACAGTGTCCTTGTGCACAACACATACACGTCATTTGCAAATGCAATATACACATACCCAAACATCTTCCTTCTCAGGAGCATACAGGTGTCTTCTCCCAGCACTATCATTTATGCCCAGTGCCCATTGACTGATTCAGCCATCTCACATGCATGTTCACTGTTCATTCATACCTATGGGTTATGTCTTTGCACGAGTCTCACGTTTTTGCAAAGCTCCCCCATTTCCCACTATATAGCAGCATCTACGGGCAGCACCACCATTCACAGCTAGTGCCTGTTGCCTATTGCTAAATTTAACACCCAAAATCCACACTAACTATTCAATGTCCACACATTTTGTGTCCAATGTCTATGCAATACAGAGTAGCGGAGCCAGAAGAATCAAAACATTGATGTTGGTCTAATGCTGCAGTCTCTTTTGTAATGACAGGAAAGAAGTAGACACTTCTCATCACAAAGTATGATTTTATTAGTGATTTTGTGAAATGTCTTTATAATGTTTTCATTATAGAATACCAATCTGGACAACTAAGATCTAGATTCTGGTTTATATTCACCTACAGTTAGGCAAAATGAATGCTAACCCTCACACAGCAGCTACACCTAAAAGGCAAAATCTTCATTCA